TCAATATTTATATTTCTTGCGTGTGTAGATATAATAATTACAGCGTAGGTCACTTTTAAAGGGGAGACAGTAAAAAATGATATTATGGAGTAAAACTGCCCTTTGATGACGGGAATTAAAAAAGTGGTGGACTACGTTAAAACATGTTATTGCATTTTCATGAAAAATATCATTGAAATACTAAAAACATTGTGCGTTGTTGCGTAGGTCCATTTTAAAGTTTAAGCTTAAAACAGGAATACAAAATAAACATATACTAGGGCCGTGAATAAGATCAAAATTGCATTTATTAGTAATACTTTTGTTTGATCCTGTGCCATATGTTGAAAAAAATTCAAAAATCATGCGATTTCCCCCAGAATAACACATTTTTTGCTCCTTACAGGGTTCGGAGATTTTCCACGGGGTTCGGAGACTGTTTCTGCAGGGTTTCGGAGACTTTTCCACGGGGTTCATGACTGCTTGGCCTTCCCTCCCTCGCAGAGAGTTCCACAAGTTCTTTTGAGCAATTAATTGATGCAGCAATAAAACTCATTGTTTTCACAAAATTTTCGCATTTCGCGAAAATATTTTTGCATAAGAAAATTTCGCTTCATTTACTTTTGCGAAAAAGTTAGCAAAATGCGACCGTAAATTTTATAATTTTTTCGCGAAACGTTTCGTTCGCTGCAATGTTATTAAGTAGCCACAGCGCTTGGCCTAGAAATTGTTTTAACCTAACCTAACCCCGCATATGGGCTATTACTTTATCAGTTTGATAAATTTGGCTGCAGAGCTGGGCCCCCTAGCCTGTCCCTGCCACAGCGATTGGCCCAGAAATTGTCTTCACCTAATTCCTAATCCCACAGATCTGCGATCACTTTGTCAATTTGATAAATTTGGCCACAGCTTTCGGCCCCCTAGAATGTCCTAGCTGCAGCGCTTGCCCCAGAAATTGTCTTAATAACCTGTCCTACCCTTACATATCGGCAATCACCTTGGTCAATTTGATAATGTAGCTGCAGCACTCGGCCCCTCACCCCGTCTTAGCTGCAGCGCTTGGCCCAGACTTAACCTAGTCTAACATCTGACCTATGGAAAGTGTTCATCCGACCTACAAAACTGTACATTCGACCTACAATACGTGTGTATCCGACTAACAGAAGTTGTGCATCCAACCTACGAACAAAAGTTGTGCATCCGGCCTATTAAAGTTGTGCATATCCAACCTACAAAAATTGNCATTTTTAGCGTCAAGTCTTTCCTTTCATTTTTAGCGTCAAGTCTTTCCTTTCATTTTTAGCGTCAAGTCTTTCTGCGTTTACCGCTACTTGCCTTCATTCCAAGCCAATCTACTTAAGAAAAAATTATTTTATTAAAATTTATACAAGATTTATGGAATGCAAAAGTTTAAAATATTAAAACAAGTTATTTTGAAAAAAGTATAATTGGCGCACAAGAGATAATTTACTCATAACATCCAACAATTAAAAATAGGATTTAGTCTACAGTTAGCAAAAAAACTTCTGGGTTTAAGTTTTTTTTTGGAAAAATCAACAAATTTAAGAATTTCTTTAAAATTTTTTTTAATTTCAAAAATTAATCTTTCTTAATTGTATTGCACAAATATCAATTTACTTAATTTTAAAATTACAAACATAACATAATAAATCAAATGTTGAAATGATATTAATGGTTATAATGACAAAAATAATGATTACATGTGAGGAAAGCAATGAGGGAGAGTTTAAAATACTGGTACAAAAGAAAAACCATAGATAAAAACCACAAAAAATGGGGGAAATGGGGGGGAAACATATTAAATAGAGATACAGAAAGGGGAAGTAATGCAAAATGCAAAGATTGAAAATTTCGAAAGGATTTGCATTGTGCAATTGTGCATTGATGGCAGATAATGGGAGGGGGTAGAAAAGTGGAGGGGGGAAGGTTATGAGATGAAGGGGAGGGGGATAACACGATGGGAGAGATGAGTGGATTAAACATCTAAAAGCATATGTTGCAGTTAACATTGATTATGACTAGAGTTTGTCTTTTGATTTACAAATAATGCATTTTTTATTTACAAATTAAATTTCTGAAATTTTGACATCAGGAAACCGATTCGGCACTGCATTGGATTCTTCTGGGACCTGATAATTGTTGACTAATATTAAAATAACAAGATTTTTTTTTATAAAACATTTTTTAATACATAATTTGTATTTAGTATCAACTCTTGCTTTAAAAAAAAGATTTAATCGGAAATTTTACGCAAGAAATATTCTACCTCTTCGTAAATATTCTCTGTCTGGTGAACCTGGACTGATTCTAATTCTTCCTAAATAGAATGTTAAGAAAAGATAATCTGAAATGTCGTCTTCGGAATAAGATTTCCTTTATCAATTTAGATCTTTACTTCCTGTGATAACTAGAAAGCAATGGAATACGAAAACGACAATAATTAGAGCAATACTTAAGTTTATTTGATTGAAGACTGCTTACACTGCAAAGTTGCTCTGTATCATCCTCATTGGGCTTTTAAAAGTTATAAAGTCGTCTTCCTATTTCAGAATATTCTGGTTTTAACTGTATGAAGGTAAACAATTAAAAAAGAAAAAGTCTTTTTGCTTAAAATTTATTGATGCAAAATTTGTCAGCATTTTTAGAAATTTATATTCAGTTGAGTTTGATTTGAGTTTGATGGGGGGTGTTATCACTGAATTTGAAGTGTTAATGAAAATACATGATTTTAAGGGAATAAATGAATTTTTCAAGTAAGTATTAAAACAAGATAAAAGGGGTTTAAGTTAAGTTACTCATTTAACACTTTTAAAATGAAATTTCCTGAAAATAACGGAATGAATTTCGTTTTCGCTCTTTCTTTTAATTAGAAACTTGTGCCATGAAACACTTTCGGAGATAAATCAGTTATAAAAATCCCAAATTAAAAAATCCTCGACGACATTTTAAAGAAAAGCAAAGACAGTAATCATGTTGTCTATCACTATATACCCTAAGGCAAAGACTTTGCTAATTATAAAGACGAGGCGTTGGAACTATTGTGTACGCCTGTACAGCTGTATTTTGACGTCATTGGTTATTTTGGTTGTTAGAGAGTTTAATGATCGACATTAATACCTTAGATATTTAACACAATTGTGAATATTTTGTGCTAAAAGTTAGTTAAAATTAATTATATTATTAATTTGTATTTTAAAATTTATTTAATCATTTGTTTGATATTAGGTCTGATGAATTATAGCTGAATTTGTGATAAAGTTACGCATCTCTTTTGTATTAAAAATAGCCAATAATCGTTAGTGAAAATTTTCAGATGTCGTCAAATATTTTTTCTGAGATACTATGGAATGAGATTTTAGGCGATGAAGAAGAGAGGGGACCAGAAATTTCCAGTATTATAAACGGTATATAAAGTTTGTGTAAATGTCGTCTTCTTGTGAATCTTACACAAAGAAATACTATCGCATAAATTAATGTATCAATCTTACTCTTCAATTGATTCATGGGGATTTTGTTTCAAAAATATCGTTAAAAATGTGAATTAAAGGACGAACTTTTACTTAAAAGTTTTTCAAAATTGATTACAAAAGGTTTGAGGCATGAATTTTTAAAGGATTTTAAAAAGTCGTACAAAAGAAATATTGGTGAAAATATAACTAGAGAATATAAAGACGACTTTTAGACTTACTCGATTTTCGATTGAATAGTTTTATGAACATAAAATACCGCAATTGAGCAGTGAACATGCAGATTGTCTAAATTCCGGAGTTTTATGTATACAAATTCAATGAATTTCCGGTTCGTCGGTGCCACTTTCAAGCCAACCAAGAATAGGAGAGTCTGTGTTTACAATGCCAGCAGATCCAAAAAGAAAAAAGTTTGGATGAAGGCTCTTTAATTGGATCATATAAATTCCCTAAGCTGAAAGATCCCAGAGTGCGTAAAAACTATCTCATTGTTAAATAAATATTATGACGTTATATTTTTCAATAATTCATTTAAATCAGGTAAAGAGAGAATTCAATCTTGAATGAAAAAGTAATGAGATAATTGATTACTGTAGAAAAGAACAAGGTTACATGCATACAAGATGCGTGACATTAATTTTCTTTTTATAACTTAATATACTTCAAACCAAAAGTAGATGTTCAAATGGACTGATAGATTGTAATTTCAAGTCACCAACCCATCAAAGGTCCTATCAACAACGGTACCATTTAAACATTTGTCTAGGTAACAATGAGGAAGATATCGCCGTTATATTTCATCTTAAAAAGTAATGAATTCTGTAAATTATGTTCATTGTCTTTGTTGCGTAAAATCCACAAGTCCCTTTTATGAACTATGAACAAATTAAAAATTTCAAGATAGAAAAGCTAAAGTGGTTTTCTTGTTTTATTTTTAAATAACTCTTAAATCCATTACAAAAGACATTATGAAACTGGAGAAGACGACATTTGTTACTAGCATTGGCTCACCCACAAAATGCGTCAAATTTGAGTAGATTTTCTGATGCGCTATCTATGTCTTTGCCCCGAGGAATTTCAAGTAGTTAATGAAACCCAAAATCAAGAGCTTATGGCATGCAGTGTAGGGGGCTATGTAGTCTGTTACCCCACAAGAACACTTTAGTTACCAGGACTAGAGATGGGCATTGTTTTCTTGAACGAACAAAATTTTTGAGAACGAACGAAATTTTTCGTAAATGATGATGTCGTTGAAAAAACGAACGATGGACGAACAATATGGATTGTTTTGAGAAAATAAAATACGATTTAAATCGTTCAAACAAACTTGAAAAAAGAATCGTTTACTGAACGAACGAATTTTCCAAAAGATTTTTAAAAAAACGATCGTTTTCTTACTGAGCGAATGATTTTTTAAACAAATTTTTTAAACCCAAAATCATAACAATAACTTGTTTACTGTTTAGTCTTAGAAAATATATGTTTTTCTTGACCCTACTCTAACCTGTCTGTGGAGGCCCGGGAGTTCAATGAACTGACCATTATTAGGAACATTCAAGTTTTGGAGAACCTAAATCAAACAATCAATTATTATAATAATGAGAATGTCTGTTTTTGTCACTATGGAATATTTAATTTTTTGATTGTCTTGTCTGTCTGTCTCAAATGATAAAAACCACTAAACCGATTAGGTACATTAACCTCATGGTTCAGGAAATCATGAAATTGATGAAATTTGGGGAAATTTGAGAACGATTAAAAATGCCGAATTTCATACCAACAGTTAAATTCTGCAATTGTTATTAGCCTAAAACTACAAATAAGAAATGTGTGAAAATTAACACAAGAAAAGAAGTAATTGAAATATTTTATAAAAAAATAATGAACAAGAGCTACTTTTGATTCCATCTTAATTGTCACCATTATACCTGTATATCTTCTTTGCCGGCTTTAGAACTCAATCTCTTTCTTTTTCTAAGGTTAAAAATGTAAAAAATCAAATTTTTAACCATAGAAATGCATCAATTTTTTTTTAGAGTTTTCCCCTCAAAATAATGTGCTTAAAAGATACACGTGTTATTATTTTCTCCCTCAATAACAAATCTTTTCATTTTTTAGAATTTTTAAAATAATATCAGATAAAAAGTAGCAACTGGCAGAGCAAATGATTATCTCAGGCCGATGGAAAGGCTTATCTGAGGAGTCCTTCAGCCTGGACAAATATATCATGTTTTCAAGATCTAAAAGGTTTTTTCCTTTAACATAGATTAGTAAAAACTCAAGATTGGTTAATCCTTTTACTCTTAACATATAAATGGTAAAAAAATCTAGAACATTTTAAGAACAAGTAATATTGTGCCTTCTTCAGATAGATTCGAAAAAAAACTTTTTATTTGAACCTCCCTGTATCCCGAGGAACTTCTTCTAAACCGGAAGTAGCCCGTTCCAGTACAAGATCCAGTTCCTAATCGGCGGCCTCTTTGACGGAAAAATATCACAAGGCCTAAAAAAAAGTTTCAATTTTTTAAAAATTATTTTTTGAAAAACAGAATTTTAGAAGTAACAGTCATGATGATGCATTTTAATTAATAGAAGTGGTTAGTTAAATGCACCTGCTTCTTTACTAAATTAAATAATTCCTAGTTTACAAATCCTCTAATAAAACGTGCTACATTTATTTCTAAAATACATTCTCTTAATCAAGAATTTCATTATACTAATACATCCACAGTGTTAAAATTGTAAATATATATACTTGTGATTTCTATGGCTCAAATCTCTGGGATTTATACAGTAGGGATGTTCCTAAAGCTCCTGAATTCATGGAACATTGCTATTCGCATTTTATTTGATCTACCAAGAGAAACCTATAGATATTTCATTGTGCCCATTTCTAATGTTCCCCATATTAAAACAGTTTTATGCACTTGTTTTGTACAATTTGTGACCAGTTTATCAAATTGTCATATGCTATGTATTCGACTTTTAGTAGATCTAAGTAAACATGAATTAAGAACGGTTTTATGTAAAAATCTTGAATCTATTGCACAAGATTGTAATGTACAATCTAGAAATCTAAACAAATTTTGCGTGAAACAAAATATGATAAACAATCATATTCCTTTAGACCAAGAATGGAAATTACCCATTCTTCATGAATTACTTAAAGTTAAAGAAGATAATTTTGTTCTAAACAACTTTGATAATAATGAGATCGCAACCATGATCAACTTTTTATGTTCCGACTAGAAACTATATTTATATTTTATACTTTATTCTTGTTTTTGTCTTATCATATTGTACCATTTTACCTTTGTGTACGAAATAAATTTATAATAATAAAGCAAAAGAATGTATGGTCCCTGTATTAGTTGTTACAAAAAATCCAATTTTCAGCAAATAAAAATGAAAAAATGTATCCTTCCTGCAAAAATTTCTATAATTCCAGAATATATATACTTTTTAAATGTCTAGATTTCAGAATCTAGATTGGAAGACGATATTTTAGCTCCTCGCAAGATAATGCCAAGTGATTAGTACTAATGATTAACCCTACTAAGAGCAGGTAATTTTTTAAACTTATATATTTAAATCTTTGAAACATAACTTTTTTTGATGTTACCAACTTACCATAAACAGCAGCTGCTAAAGTTAGAGCTCCCCCTACAGATAAACTGCAGATAATTAACAGACTAAAATCTTGAGAAGAGCAGGAAAAGGCCTGAAATAAAACTTTTCAGGAGGACAATTTATGACAAAGGAAGATAAAATATTAAGTTTTTCAAAATTAACTGAAGAAATTGGAAGAAAATAATGATCTACAGGATAATATAGAAAACATTGAGAAATATACACCCTAAAGTCTATTTATTCTACAATATTTTGGGGATCACTATAGATTTTTGTTTCTCTCTTCTGCTAGACGAACTGTTTATATCATTTTAAATTCAGTGATGGTGATGGACCAACACTCCGCAGAGTAAAAAAAGTAGATGTTAGTTCAACATTTTATTGAAAATATATTTCGGTCTGGGTTGACCCTCGTCAGTTCTTGAGATTGTTTCTGTCAGGAAGATTAAACACAATTTAATTCATATTCCCTACACATTAAAATCGTTTAAAAAATACCGATCGATCATAAATTTAATTGTTGTTGGCCTTATATTTTTTTTTTGCAAACAAACAAATCATTTTATATTTCACCTCCTCATGCAGAACAGCTATTAGGTCAAATTCTCCCTTGTAATTGCACCTAAAATTTTAAACAGATCAAAATAAATTGTACAATCAAATGCATAGATATACTTGGTTTGGTTTAAATATGTTACCTAGCCTTCCTAGATATATTTGGTTTGGTTTAAATATGTTACCTAGCCTGTCTAGATATATTTGGTTTGGTTTAAATATGTTACCTAGCCTGACTAGATATATTTGGTTTGGTTTAAATATGTTACCTAGCCTGCCTAGATATATTTGGTTTGGTTTAAATATGTTACCTAGCCTGCCTAGATATATTTGGTTTGGTTTAAATATGTTACCTAGCCTGTCTAGATATATTTGGTTTGGTATTTAGAAGGTCCTTTAACCAGGATAAGGAACATCCGCATTCTAGAGGGCAGTCAGTTACATCCAAACTAGATCAGAAGAGTAAATTAATCAGTCCAGCATTTAAAATAATTTTAATTTTTTTTAGCTTAACTTCAACATTTGGAGAACAGACAAAAAAATTTCTCTGAACTAAAAATAATTCTACACATTGGTCACATATCACAGATAGATTACAATAAAGAACATTGGAGTACATACAAAGGAGATTTACTGGGCATTAGTTGACTATCAATCTATCATAGGTATAACAAAGGTAGAAAAATGGTAGAAAAAAACAACCTTTATGTCCAAGTCCTTGCATGATGTCATCTATCGCTAAAAGGGATGATGACAGGGTCAAGGGCATAAAAGGTCGTCTTTTCCAACATTAGGATTTTGTCACCTTTTTATTTCTATGGTAGATAGATAGTCAACTAATTAAAAGGTTAAGAATACCCTGTAAATCTTTTTATAATACACTACTAACATAAGTTTAGGAATCATTTCTTATCAGTTCCCCAAAAGCATCGATCATTAACCATTCCCCCTAAAAAATTTGTATGAGTATAAGAATTATAATAAAGAAAAAATTCAATACTAAATGGAGAAATTTGGAAAGGTTCCGTATGAAAGCTTTTAAATTTCATAATTCCAGAATGTGCCTGACATTCCACACTTTCTGAATTAAACAATTATATATTATAATTTAAATGTGTATTGTACAACATAACCCCAAATGGTAAGATGTTCCTAAAGGCTAGATCCAGGGGCGTATACAGGAATTTTTCTGGGGCTCAGCCATGCTTTTCACTTATCAAAAGGGGCTCAGCCCCCATCGCCCCCCCCCCCTGTAAACGCCTCTGACTCTACTATTAGCTAATTATTCATTGCATTATATAAGACATTATTAAATAAGAAAAATAAGAAAAAAATGTATTAATTATTTCTGACAATTAAATAATAAAAACTTTTTTTTGAATGAAGACTTGGCCAATATAACTGATTTTTGATAAAGATGGGGGGAAAACTAAGATTCTACCTGTCTAAATCATAGAATGCTAGGAGAAGTTTGTTAAGGCTGGTTAAAGGGTTTCCATGCAGATTAACTTTCTGAACACATTCCTCATTCAGAACAATAAAAATGACATATTCATTTCGGATTTTTGTTCACAAAAAGGTTTTTCAGATATTTTTTCTCTGAATTCCAAAACAAGTATTTTTGAATTTCGATCCGGTTATTTCAATATTTTTTTTACATAAAACCTGCAAACAATTTTATAGTTTTTTTTGTAAAACACAGCTAATCCCAGTCTTTTCATTAAAGTTGAATATTTGAAGGTTTTAAATGTGAAGCATGCCACTTGAGGATCACTTGAAATAACTTTAGATAAGTCACTCAATAACGTTTCCCGTGCAAGGATCAGTTTTATTCTGTAAATCCGGATCCGGAACCGGATCCAGCTAAATCCGGATCCGGAACCGGATCCAGCTAGTCAAAAATAACTAACAAACCGACATTATGAAAACAAAAACAAAAGCAGAAAATATTTTTTGAGAAATCTGATTGTTGAATATAAAAATTTACTTTAAAATAAATTGTGAAATTTTTCATTTCAGCATAATCAATATTTGAAATTGTGTTTTCTTTCTTTTTTCAGTTGACTGAATCATTACCTTTCTCCAAATATTAAAACATTAATGGCTTGAAATTTAAAAATAATTAAGTGTAATAAACGTAATGACTCTTAGTTGTTTAATGGTTCATTCATTGCTGCTACAGTGATAACAAGAAAATTCTGAAAAAAGAAAACTTTTAGAATAAAGTTTTTAATTTATAAAGTGCAATGAGCATGAGAAACAGCAATTGTTGAGGTGAAACAAACCCATTTTACTAAATATAGTGATTTTATAAGTATCTATTAGAACTATTTGCTTTATACCAACACATTAGTATAGCTATAATGTCGTCTTCCTATTTCATTGTTTTCACTGTAAAAATATTTTTTTTAAATAAAATGAGAATATTCCTTGAGCATTGTTAAATAGTGAAAACTCACACTTTCATCTAAATAAAAAAGAAATTTTAATATTTTTTTAATGAAGTAAAAATATTTCATCCAAAATTTTTTTAAAAAGTTCGTTTTTCAAGGCTTTTGAAAATCATATTTCTTTAGAGATTATTCGCCACAAAGAACTTTTACTTTTCTAAACTTTATATCTTTTCAATCATGATTCGGTAAAGGTAAACTCTTATTTTTTTAAATGTTGATCATTTGGTCTAACAGAATTTATCTTGAAATATCTAAGGTCTACCACATCAGGTTCACAGATATTAGAATGAAAATAGTTTGGGGCGAGTAATCAGCTAGTTTCTATGTCAGAAAACATTGAAATTGACGTGTTGATTGTTAAACCCTTAATTTTTCTTTTATGTGAAATTTTATTATCGTTAATATAAAAAAACTTAAACATTTTAATGTATTTGTCAACAATTTGTTTATTTAAGATTTAATTTAAAAAAAGAATAGAATAGAAATAATTTGGCTCCGACCTATATTTTCAAGATGACATTTTGAGAGATCAATAGAAATGAGTTCTGTGTTTTTTCTGAAAGTATCCTCCTCTATGAGTAGGTCCTCTGCTGCAGTAGTTTTCATAGTAAAACATCAATTTGTATGGATTTTAAAATTTATTTGAAAGCTATTTTGAATAGGTTCAAATGATTTTTATGAACATTTTGGAGTTTAAACATGTATTTATTTGGTTCAGTCCAGGAATAAGATTTGTGGAACTATCTTCCATTTCAAAAGTTACCTGTCCGAATCAAAACGATACCCTTTAAGTTTATCCTGCTATTTGAGTAAAAATGAGCAAGATATCGTAGTTTAATTAATAAAAATTTTGAATCATCCAATTTTCAGATAGAAAAACAAGGATATCTCCATCATCTCGGGGTTAAGAGTGCCCATGCAATTGGGAAAGCAACTTTTTCAAAACAGCCCTTTCAAGAAAAAAAGAAAATAATTTTTTAACATTGATTTTGAGTTTTTTATTATGATCAACCTTTGCATTCAGTCATAGAGAAGTGTCTGAGTCTTCTATTCATAATTTGATATTATTAATTGATATTTACATTTTTTGGACCTTAAAGCATTGTGATATATCTTTGATTTGTAAACAATTTGATGGATTTTTTTTGATTTTTGAAATTCATTGTTTGGGTTAAATCTTCTAAAACGGATCTATGGGAATGTTTGTGGGGGAACAGCTTGGCTTTGTCCAAATTGATCTAGAATTAAAACTGGGTCGACTTTGAAGCGTCGTCAGGGCTTGTTCGAGTTTTTAAACAAATTTTTTTTTATGATCAATCCAAAATAGTATTAAACAGAATTTCATGATTAAAGTAATCATTCAAAAATTTGCTATAAAAATTTGCAGTACTGCACTCCCAAACAGTAATTTTAAGAAATTATGATTTCCTTAGAGCGTTAAAATCTCTAGGTCTCAGTGCACTTATCAAGTTTCCTGAAATATTTAAATTTATGTTATTAATTTTAAACAAAGATCGGTTCAAACAGACTGTGGCGGTAAAAAGTGGCATGTCCGATGCACAGTGGTACCTCCAATATAAAGAGTTTGTAAAACTAACCTCCAATATGAAAATTTTGTAAAACTAACCTCCAATATGAAGAGTTTGTAAAACTAACCTCCAATATGAAAGGTTTGTAAAACTAACCTCCAATGTGAAGAGTTTATTAAACTAACCTCCAATATGAAGATTTTTAAAACTAACCTCCAATATAAAGAGTTTGTAAAACTAACCTCCAATATAAAAAGTTTGTAAAACTAACCTCCAATATAAAGAGTTTGTAAAACTAACCTCCAATATAAAGAGTTTGTAAAACTAACCTCCAATATGAAGAATTTGTAAAACCAACCTCCAATATTAAGAGTTTGTAAAACTAACCTCCAATATGAAAGGTTTGTAAAACTAACCTCCAATATGAAGAGTTTGTAAAACTAACCTCCAATATGAAAGGTTTGTAAAACTAACCTCCAATATAAAGAGTTTCAAGAGCTTGAATATTGTGGAATGAACTGGAAGGAACCTGGTTAAGTCCATTGTGACTGGAATGTTTTATAATGTAAAGAATTAATTTGTAAAATCTTGTTAATCTTTATCATGCAAACAAATAATTTTATATAAAGGTTTGGTACACCATTACCAATAAGTTCCTCAAAAACGTTTGGTTTTATTTAGTGAACACTGAATTGTGAACACTGTACACGTACAGAAACCGAACAATGTACACGTACCAAGACCGAACAATATACACTGCAGTGCCCGAACAACATACACGTAGTGCCCGAACAATTTACCAAACAATGTACACATACAGTTACCGTACATTGCACACGTACTGTAACCGAATAATGTAATATTAAATTTATGGCTGGGCCCGTTCTTATTTTTTTTAAAACAAATCTGTCCATGATCGTTAATCATAAACGAGGGCTTTCAGCTGATTCGTTTGATTCAAGTAGGATCTTTTCAAAAATCAGAACGTTTAAAATTATTTTTTTCCTTTCTTTTTAATCAACGATTGTCCCTGTCCAACTTAATGACTTCTTTCAATCTTTTGTAAAAACCTTTTTCTCTCTGTTCCCCAAAATTTTTTCTCAAAAACATTTGAATGAAATCAAATTCGTAATATTTAAACATTTGTAATTAGATAACCACCAAGTTATGTAAAATACATAACAAAATGGGCAAACGGAAACGTTAATCACGAGAAAAAAAATAATTCTTCAACTTACTTCACCATTTAAAAAATTGTTCAATTATTAAACATCTTCCCTAATATCTAAAATCCGGAGTTGAGATAACCCTGAGAATGCTATTTCACCTAAAAGAGATCGATATTATTAATGTAGGTTACCATATCTGGTCTAATAGACTTTAAAGGATTCACAATCCATTTAAATATACCCAGGGTTCGAATTTAATGAATGTGAGCTAACGTCGCTGAACTACTTACTGTCTTTATAAATTCATTACATTGGGTCCCAGGGGCTTCTATATATTCAATATACTTTGCTTGTCTGTCCGTTTTTATCCAATAAACGTCAAAACTGATCGATCGGGCTTAAATTTTGTGTGGGACCTCAAATGACCCAAGTGATGCTCAAAATTACAAAAAATCTGCGTCCAAAAACTTCCAATTCTTGCTAAATTTTTAAATTCGATTTTTTAAAATTTCTAGGGGCAACGCCGGGCACTTTAGATAGTTGTTTTATATTGTACAAGAGAAGATGCTCACAGATAGAGCTAGAATTTAAAGTTGAAGAAGAAGATGGATGCTAAGCGTCCTAAAAGTCAAATTTTTCTTTTTTTCTTTTGTACTTTAAATTAGAGGAGATGGGGGGGGGGGGGGAACAAAGCGTATTACTCTCCAGAAAATTAAAACAGTGTTTAAACATAACTTTTTGCATGTGAACTTAAAATTATGTAATGTAACGGTTTAAACACTGTTTAAATTTTCCAGAGAGTAATACGTTTTGTGAACCCCCCTCCCCCCCCCCTTTGATAACTTAAAAAAAATTATAGTTGGATAGGCCTTTCAGCTTCTCCCGTTGTTGACAGAACTGCATGGTATCTTATTTGTTTCTGTTATTATTAGTTAAATAAATAAATATAAAATGTGGCTGATTTACCTATGCTGTACAGACTACACTCTCTCAACCTGTAAAAACTTAGTTTATTTTTTATTTTCGTTTTAAAAAATTACTCCAAAACATTCATTTTACAATTAGATTAGAGCAAAAAATTATTTTAAATATGTCGGCGAGGAGTCTTTTTAAAAAAACAAGGGTTTCCCAGACAGATCAGTATGGCATTATCAAACGAGAGAAATTATTGATATAGAATGCAGAAGGGTTTTCTAAACCTCGGATCAAAATAAGCAGTCAAAATCAAAAAATAGTATCCACACTGGCGCAGCCCTTTCAAAAATCGAAAACACTCCCATTAAAGATTATTGGTAACCTGAGTTCAGCAAGTGAGTTTAATTCCTGAAAGAGAGGAACTTCCAGAGTAGACAGTGGATTCAGACTTAGATCAAGGGTACTGAAAATACAGTGGATTCAGGCTTAGATCAAAGGTACTAAAAATACATTTAGACTAAGATCAAGGGTACTGAAAATACAGAGGATTCAGGCTTAGATCAAGGGTACTGAAAATACAGTGGATTCAGGCTTAGATCAAGGGTACTAAAAATACAGTGGATTTAGGCTTAGATCAAGGGTACTGAAAATATAGTGGATTTAGACTTAGATCAAGGGTACTGAAAATACATTCAGGCTAAGATCAAGGGTACTGAAAATACAGCGGATTCAGGCTTAGATCATGGGTACTGAAAATACAGAGGATTTAGACTAAGATCAAGGGTACTGAAAATAAAGTGGATTCAGGCTTAGATCATGGGTACTGAAAATACAGTGGATTTAGACTAAGATCAAGGGTACTGAAAATACAGTGGATTCAGGCTAAGATAAAGGGTACTGAAAATACAGTGAATTCAGGCTTAGATCAAGGGTACTGAAAATACAGAGGATTTAGACTAAGATCAAGGGTACTGAAAATACAGTGGATTTAGACTTAGATCAAGGGTACTGAAAATACAATGGATTCAGGCTTAGATCAAGGGTACTGAAAATACAATGGATTCAGGCTTAGATCAAGTGTAATGAAAATACAGTGGATTCAGGCTTAGATCAAGGGTACTGAAAATACAGAGGATTTAGACTTAGATCAAGGGTACTGAAAATACAGTGGATTCAGACTTAGATCAAGGGTACTGAAAATACATTTAGACTAGGATCAAGGGTACTGAAATAAGAGTATTTAGACTAAAATCAAAGGTAACGATATAAGGTATTTAGACTAAGATCAAGGGTACTGAACATACAGTGGATTTAGACTAAGATCAAGGGTACTGAAAATACAATGTATTCAGATTAGATCAAGGGTACTGAAAATACAGTGGATTTAGACTTAGATCAAGGGTACTGAACATACAGAGGATGTAGACTAAGATCAAGCGTATAAAAGCAATATTAAGAATGTTTTTAAAAAATTTAGATTTCTAAGAATGTAACTATCTGATGACGTCCATCTCGTACAAGACATTTTTTCATATTTTTAAAGTTCCTAGATCTTTGATGGTAATGTCTTTTAGTGGAAAATAATATTTTTTAAAAATATTTTAATGAAAAGTTAAAACAACACCTTCCTCTAATGTATTTTAATAAAGTAAAATAATTCACCTTAGACTTCTGAGATTTGAAAACACATCATAAGGAAAATGCCTGCAAAAACATTATTACAGTAAATGACAGTTAACAGGAAAATTTTTTTTTTTAAATTATTTATTCTTTGCTTTGCTTTCTTTTGACTGTCAAACTTTAACTTTGACTGAAATAGTTTGCGAAACCGACCCAAAAATGATCCAAAAAATGTTATTTTTCTGCTCGTTTTCTATTTTTGTAAATTGAAACTAGTATATTTTTAGTTTTAACTTACTTGATATAGTTATGTTCCATGTAAAGATACTGCAGGTTAGTAATAAAAGGACCAGAAAACACCTGAGAGTGGAAAATTTCTTTACAATACTGCAGTCCCAACTCAACTACCATGTCTAGCCAGACACTCCCTTTAAAACTTTTAAATGAGAGTTTGCTGTATAGTAAGAAACAAGAAAGTAAATACAACCCCCTAAAAATATCAAGGGATGGAGAGGGGTTCATCCTAATTATCTGGAAGGCGGTGATACCCTCCAATTAAAGTGTTAAAATCTAAATCCCGATTCACAAATATACACTTTATCCGTTTAACAATGAGGACAACTTTTTCTGTTTTGTTCTCTCAATTATTTTCCTTGGCTCTGCAACATAAATCCGCCAGTTGTTCTTATGTGAAACTGAATTTAAAAAGTATTCAAGTAAGAAATTAAAACATGCTGAATTCATAATTTTTGCTAAGAACAATGGTATACTTGTGAATCGGAATAACTTTTGAAAAACGCCGTCAGTCCCTTTATTATGAATAGTCCCTACCTGGTTATCTAGTTGGTTAAGCTCATTATATGAAAGGTTGATGGTAATAATCTCATCAAGATTATCAAACCCTCCTGTCTTAAATCTTATCTTTATTTAAAGGGACTGTTCAGGTTTAAGATTCCTGGATGTGTTTAATCTTATTATAAGATAGGTCTATATAGATCTGTTAAAAAAAAATAAAAGTTTAAGATTCCTGGATGTGTTTAATCTTATTATAAGATAGTTCTATATAGATCTGTTGGAAAAGATAAAAGTTTAAGATTCCTGGATGTGTTTAATCTTATTATAAGATAGATCTAGAGTTTTCAGATTCCCTAGTCCATAGAACTGTTTCCTTTTCACTTCTCCAAGTAGATTGTGACTTTAAAAATGTAAATTATATATAGAAATATGATTTTTGATATGTCAGGGCCCAGGGGTTTATATTTTTAAGAATTTCCCCTTACCCCTTGTATATTTGGACATCAAAAGGCATCTTTCTTTAAACTTGTTTCCCAAAAGTTCATTAATTTTCCCCAAAAAATTATTGAACAGTTGAATTCGATTTTGCTATTTGAAAGAAAAATGTTTTAACCTGAGATCAAGCGAGTGCAGAGTGATACTGTCTTGGAAACACATGGAATTAATACTCTAAAATATATCATTTTATATTTACCGGGACTGAGACGTAATATCAAAAAAGAATATAATAATTAAGGATTTAATGTTTAGAAATAAGCATAAAAGAATTTTTTTAACAGAGCTTCAATAAATTTTTGAAAACCCTCGATATTTCAGAAAAAAAGTAAAATCGATAAATTCTGAAAATGAAGATTGTACGTTTAGAGCTATTCCTTATGTGAATATAATAGTTTCCAACCGGATACAGTGCCGTCTGGAATAATGAAGGGACCATCTGGGATGATGATGTGAGCATCAGGGATGACTAAGTGAATGTACGGGATGATAATGTGACCGTCAGGGATGATAAAGTGACCGTCAGGGATGATAAAGTGACCGTCAGGGATGATAAAGTGACCGTCCGGTATGATAAAGTCAACGTCTGGGACAATGTTATAGTGACCGTCCGAGATGGTAAAGTGAAGGTCTGGGATAATGCTAACGTCCAGGATGTTAAAGTGACCGTCCGAGATTATAAAGTGAAGGTCTGGGATAATGCTAACGTCCAGGATGATAAAGTGCCCGTGCGGGATTATAAAGTGAAGGTCTGGGATATTGTTACCGACCTGAATGATAAAGTGAATGTCCTGGAAGATGAAGTGAACGTCCTGTATGATGAAGTGAACGTCATGGATGATAAAGTGACCGTCCAAGATGATAAAGTAAATGTCAGGGATGATAAAGTGACTGCCGGGATGGTAATTAATTACCGTAATCCTATTGTATGAGACTATGAAGGTAATGAGCTCCTGGTAGAAGAATAAACTGTCGAGAGCTTGTATCCTGTTCTTTGACAGGTTCAGACTAACAAATCAAAAATATATAAACGGATTAAATCATTCTAAAATTGACAGGTTCAGACTAACAAATCAAAAATATATAAACGGATTAAATCATTCTAAAATTGACAGGTTCAGACTAACAAATCAAAAATATAAAAACGGATTAAATCATTCTAAAATTGAGTTTAAAAAGATAAAGGGACTTTATGAATAATTTCAGCTGACTCTCCTTTCATAAATTGACATGTCCAATTTACAACGGTACCCTTTCTGATCGAGGTAAAATGTTTTATTCTTTAGTTTTTAACAACGATCCGTTTTAGACATAAACAATTAAACCGTAGTCTTACTTCTACCCAGTGCTTAGGATCCATTTTATTTTGATGCGGAATCTGGATCCGCACATGGAAAAGAATGGATATGGACTGGATCTAGGTCATAAATATTTCTGTAAGAAGAATTTTCAAATAATTTTTTGTTTGTTTTTTTTATGTTAAAACTTGATGAACCATTCATTTGGGAGCAAAAGATTTTTGTTTGCAGTTTTTGGTTGATATTTTTCCCCTTGGATCCGAATCCATGGATCCGTGGATTCGGACCCAGGAAGCCAAAATGTTGGATCAAACTTACTATTTTTATTACAGATATAAAAACCCGTTTCTGATCAAGTTACGTTTCTCATAAAAAGAAATGACAAAAATTACTTTAAATGCTTTTTGAAATAAATAAAATAAAATAAAATTTTAAGATATTTAGTTTTCAATGTTCCTTTCAAGACTAGGGTTCAGATCACTGGGAACTGTATCTATACTACTCTCCACACATACAGCACTGGGATTCTAAAATATAACCATTAAGGTACAGGGTTACCCACAAAGGATGAGACAACAAAAAACTACAGGGTTACCCACAAAGGATGAGACAACAAAAAACTACAGGGTTACCCACAAAGGATGAGACAACAAACAACTACAGGGTTACCCACAAAGGATGAGACAACAAACAACTACAGGGTTACCCGCAAAGGATGAAACAACAAACAAATACAGGGTTACCCACAAAGGATGAGACAATAAACAACTACAGGGTTACCCACAAAGGATGAGACAACAAACAACTACAGGGTTACCCACAAAGGATGAGACAACAAACAACTACAGGGTTACCCACAAAGGATGAGACAACAAACAACTACAGAGTTACCCACAAAGAATGAGACAACAAACAACTACAGGGTTACCCACAAATGAGACAACAAACAACTACAGGGTTACCCACAAAGGATGAGACAACAAACAACTACAGGGTTACCCACAAAGGATGAGACAACAAACAACTACAGAGTTACCCACAAAGAATGAGACAACAAACAACTACAGGGTTACCCACAAAGGATGAGACAACAAACAACTACATTGTTACCCACAAAGAATGAGACAACAAACAACAACAGGGGTACCCACAAAGAATGAGACAACAAACAACCACAGGGTTACTCACAAAGAATGAGACAACAAACAACCACAGGGTTACCCAAAAAGGATGAAACAACAAACAACTACAGGGTTACCCTCAAAGGATGAGACAACAAACAACTACAGGGTTACCAAAAAAGGATGAACAACTACAGGGTTACCCTCAAAGGATGAGACAGCAAACAACTACAGGGTTACCAAAAAAGGATGAAATAACAAACAACTACAGGGTTACCCTCAAAGGATGAGACAACAAACAACTACAGGGTTACCCACAATGGATGAGACTTCAGACGACTGTACATAATTGTATACTGGCTGTTTTCTTATATTCATGTTTCCCTTCAACTGTTAACATGTTTTTCTTCTTTGTCAAATCAATAAATTATCCATTAAGCGACAATATTAAAGTAAAAAGACTTTACTTAACATAATTGTAATATATTTACAGAATTTCAGGTCGTCTTTACAGTTTCATTCTTAGTTGGTAACCCTGTAATTTATTGTGTCACGTGATGATTGAAGTTTTCTGTCCAAATGGTTTATGGAATTAATTCCGTGCAGTCTTTTTTGAAGTTTCATCCTTTTGGGATAACACTTTACATGCTTGCCCAATTCAAAACTGCAACTTTTCTTTAAAAAAAAAAATTACAATTTTTTATTGCGGATTTTCAATAATTTAACTTGCAGATTTATGCAGCAGAGGTATTTTTTTTAAAAGGCGGATATCTTTTTCAATATTACGCAAAAAGGGAGGCTCAAGTAAGTAATCATTTATTCATAAATTATGACAAAAAAAATAAAAGTAAAAGTGTTCTGAGGTGGAAATATTTAAAAACCTCTGAAAATAGAGGTTATTGGATTATTTCCCCCCAAAGGAAAAGAATAAGGAAAGAAAAGAAAAATGAAAATTAAATATTCATGTTTACATTTTAAAACTAAGGGATTTAAGAAGGAGTAGGACTGAACTAAATACTAATTAATGATTGATCCTGGGATTTAAAACAAAAAGTTTTGACCTGATCTGATATAAAAGTGTTTGCTCACCTGACTATCAATGCACTTGCAAACAGTTCTTTCTGGGTAGCTTCCCTCCAATATAGAAGAGCAAGAACTAATGTAAACATTGTACTGTAGCTATTTATTGTGCATGCATTCCATTAAAGGGACTGTATACGTATTTCAAGAGATTCTCAATATTAAAGATGACAGGACAGATTTACACCGCGCCGGTACCCTTCACACTTCTGAATGATAATTCGGAAGATTTTGTCGTTTTGAACCTTGAAAAGTGTTTAATTCCAACAAATTCCTCTTTTGTTCATAAAGCAGAAATCCGCACTTTACAGATAAATCACAATTAAAATTGTTGAGTTTCAAAGAGCAAATTATATCTTATACATTCTTGATCACACAAAAATTTTAAGGGCAGGGGCGGATACAGGGTGGCGGCAGAAGCTTTGCACCCCCTGACGGATTCAGGGGAGGGCGTAGCCCTCTACCCCTGAGATTTTAATAGCACTTAAGGGAAAGAAAACCTAGGGCAAAAAAAACCAAAAAATCTATCTTAAAAAATTTTACCTGCAGCGCGTCTTTTGGTTCTTAAATCTGGATTTTTTTAATCCGAAATAAATCTAGCACCCCCCTCACTTAAATATTGTATTCGCCCCTGTTAAAGGGGTACCGTGATTCGGACATGTCACTCTACAGTGTACAGTCCCTTTAAAAAGGAACTTCAAGGACATTTAAAGTGATATGCGATATAACGGTTTGTCCTGTCTACTTGTATCTATGTAAGTTGTTCATCTCTGTTCTAAGAAGTAACATGGTGGATTTCAAATAACGACAAGCATAAAATAATGTTACGCTCTTTGCACACAATTTTTTACACATTTTTAGGGAATCCAAGAAGAATTAAGGAAAAAAATCGCAAATAAGAAAATGTTAACCTTTTAAAAAATCTATTTTTTAAAATTTATAAATACACAAAAAATTACTGAATAGTTTAATTTATTATTTGGGGAAAAAGTAGTAATGTAACATCCCTGTAGTAATCTTGATATGATGGTTGAAGGAGGAGAAGGAGGATGAAAAGTTTCATATTTTTTCATTTATTTTTCATCAAATTCGGCATTCTGTATCCTTCCTCATTCTATAAATTCTTTGACATTTTACAATTACATCTGAAGAAAAATGTTGGATAATTTATTGCAATGATTTGTAGTATTTTTTTTTGGGAGGGGGGGTGGAAATGAATTTGAGGCATTTGTTTTTAAGATCGGAATCAAAACAAATATAAACCCTAGTTAAATTATACGTGCAAGAATGTTTCCCAATTACACCTTTTAACCCGTAGCTAAAAACAAGCGCGTTACAATGTACATTGTACATTTTTATGGCTCAAAAAAGTATACGTGATTCTAGGCCTTGGGACACCTCAATGTCAACCCGGTCTTAGAAGATTAGTGCATAATTTGCTCTCCAGATGCATGTGCCCCAAAGTTTTAGTAACCAAGAATTCATAAATTTTCTAATTTTTTATTTTTTAAAATTTTTCTTGAATTTTGACCTATTCTTCAGCTAGACAGCAACTAAAAAAGTAAGAAAGATAAATATATAGTTGGTGGTAGATAACGAGTAACTGTGAACAAAGACAAATAAAGATTTCAAGTCAGAATGAAATTTTCATGAATGAAATTTTTATTAGTTACAAGTTCAAATAAAAATAAAATTTAAGAACATAAATTTTGCGATGACAGAATTAAACAAAGATACGACCTGAATGTAAAATTTTTAGACTTCGATCAAAATTTTTAACTTTCTAATGCGAGTTTAACTCCTCCCAAGCAGAAGATACCCCTCCCCCTTCCTCTCATGAGCGAGGGAGGAACGTTTAAATCTTAAAAGATTTAAAAATCAAAAGTAAAAGTTTATTTAAAATTTAAATAACAAAGAATTTGAGAAAGTTTGTGGGTTCCAGAGTGCCATGGAAATTCAAATATTTTCCTACTTTTTTATTTTTGTACTCAGGGGTTATCTTAAAAAATTCCGCCAATTTGGTTCAGTCTTTTGGCCACACTGGGTTACCAACAAATGCATATGGTGGAACTTCAGAGACGACTGTACAGAATTTTTCAATTCTTTTTTTTGATTCATGGCTCCTGACAGTTGTAAACTGGTATCTTTCATTGCAAAATCATTTAGCATATCATTAAAAGACTTCATTAAAGGCAACCCTTTAATTGATAGAAGTTTAGGTCGTGCTTAAAGTATAATCCTTTGTGGGTAACCCTGTATATAGAGGACTGTAGTTTCAAGTCAAGCAAATTAACCAAATAGAATGGAATTATAAATATTGAATGTTTTGAGGTCCGTTTTTGAACAGTTAAAGTTGTCAGGCTTTTTAGAGGTTCAATTCGAGACATAAATCCTATTTCAAAATTGCACGCTAGTATATTTTGTTAATGTTACATTATGCAAGATTTTAAATCTGACAAAAGATATTAACTAAAACAATTTTACAACACGATTAGTAAAATCGTTCTTAGTTTTGGTATATATCTTTGATCAGAGAAAAAATTTGCATAATTTAATAAAAGCAAACTTATCGAGAACACAATTTTGCTTTGTGATATATAACTCCTTCTTTTGTGTAACCCATCACTAATTGTGAGCAATTTACTTTAATTACTTTACAAATATTTAGTTACTAAATACTCAACAATAAATCACTTGAATTTCACGTAAAAAATAACAGTGTCAGCTTTAAGTGGAAGATGAAAAGGAAACCCTTAAGCTGTTCTAAAATATAGAAATATAAACTTGAAGAAAAAGAAAAGTTTTCAACCATTCTCGTTCCGTTTATAAATATCAAATGTTTCGCCATCTTTTTGGAGAAAAAAAATTAGAAATTAAAGAATTTTACATAATTCTTCGATATATCAGAGTCGCTTTCTCAAATAGAAATGGTCATATATTTTTCAGATATTAAAAGCGAGTTTGAGAACGATTCTAATTATCACTGCTCACTTGGACAAACTCTAATGTTATATTATTGAATGACGAGTTGAACGGAACTGGTAACATTATCTCTGATGATCCCTATTTTAAAGCGTTGTCTGTCAGATTCATAACGGTAACCTTTATCTTTATCTGAACAAAGCTGAGGACTGAGGAGGACATCGTCGATTCTTCAAATCATGTTAGATTTGCCAGTTTTTTTTCTATTCTTTATAAATCCGTGTAAGTGGCCGGCTATGTAGTTGTACTAAGAAAACTCCGAAATAGGAAATCAATGTTATAGCAATATTAACGTGTATTTCAGGTTGTTACAAAGCAAATAGTTTTACCAGACACTTATTAACTCAATTAAGTCTATTTTCAGTGCACAATTAATGTGTCCTATGCTCATTGCACTATATAAAGTCATAACTTATGTCTAAAAGTAGTCTTCTATTTCATATCACTTCCATTATTGAGAAACAACATTTGAAAGTTATCATCTTAAGATAGAAAAACAAAGGTATGTTCGCCATTTATGCTCATATGAAAGTTAAAAGATATCTTGCCGCTTTTTATATTCACTGCAATATATTGAAATATAACAACTGACTGCAGGAGAGTAAAACTGCTTATCTATCAGCTCCCTATCGGCTCTCTGTCAGCTCAGGAGTGAGAGAGAGAGAGAAAGTGCTCCTGATAACATTTTCTTATCTTTATAATAATTATCCATTATTGTAAATAAACCTATCCGAATTTTTCAAGGCATCTCAAGTACTCAACCCCCCCCCCCCCCAATCCCCTTCTTAAATACTAGAATGTTTATTTTTGTTAAATTACGCTTGTTTGTAATTTGATCCACCCAATGTGTGCAAATTACGCAAAATATAAAAAATGCGCTAAATACCTGAAATTTATGACCGCGGTTATCTGACAAACAGGCTATCGATGAAAAAGTGTATATAAACATGAAAATTACTCAAATAATTAAAACATAAATCTGCGAACTACTAAAGTAATTTGAATTATGTGTATTTCAAGTAATTTTTGGAGTAAGCAAATTTGTGAAAAGTCAAGTCAGGAACGAACAGAATTTTAGGTTTCTTGATCAAAACTTAGTTGTTTATTAGTAAGGAATATAAGTTTTAAGCTATTTATTCATTATTTTAAATTTAAGCAAGAAATAATACCATAAAATACTAGCATTAGCATTATTTCAATCATGTTGGGTATACGGGTGACAATACATGGTTATTTACGCCACTAAAATAATAGAAAGACTTTGATAACAAACTGGAAATAGATTTATTGATATTTCGTTTTTATTTGTATGCAAGCTTGTGCCCACAACCCTTATCCAAAATAAATTATTAAAGTTTAAAAAATTATTATTAGTTTTGAATTGTATTATTAGTTTTTAAAAAATCTCGAGGAAATGTTAAGAACCTTGATCTGGTTTTGGATCAGGGTCCTTTTTCTCAGGGCGGTTCAGCATCAAAATAAAATGGATTTTAAGCACTGCAGATGGGCGGATTTTCGGTAATATCAATTTGATAATGACAATTTGTAACCAATTTGTCATTTTTATGAAGTTACCGAATCGTCATTTTTAAGTTAAGTGATCAAATTATCATTTCCAAAACGTCATTAATAATAATTGTCACTTTTTTGTAGTTACCAAAATTTCATTACCAAATTATTACATTTTTAAAGTTACCAAGTTGTTGTTACCAAATTTTCACTTTTAATTCATTACCAAAATTGTCACTGTAATTTATACCAAATTGTCATTACCGCATCGTCATTACCTAATTGTCATAACCAAATTGACATTACCAAATAGTCACCTTACCAAATTGTCATAACCAAATTGACATTACCAAATAGTCACCTTACCAAATTGTCATAACCAAATTGATATAACCAAATTGTCACCTTACCAAATTGTCATAACCAAATTGACATTACCAAATTGGCATAACCTAATTTTCATCGCAACTAATCGTCAAAACTAAATTGACATTACCAAAAATCCGCCCATCGCACTGCAGTTAAAAGGAGAAGCGGTGGTATTCAAGAAGTCTCTTTTTTCCCTGGATCCATTTTTTCCCACGGAGAATTCGCATCAAAACTAAATGGATCCCAAACACTGGAACCGTGGCTAAACAGAAATGATTTTCAATTATTTTTCGAAGTTATTTTTAATAAATGTTGAACTAACATCTACTTTTTACTCTACAGAGGTTTGGTCCATCACCATCATCGAATTTTAAAGTTATTTTGCCTAATTCAAAATATGTCTCTGCGCTTTTACAGGATATTGACTGAGTACCATTTTGCTTGAATATAAAAGATTGCCTTCCAATAATTCCTTTCCAATCGAAGGACTAATGAGAAATGATGACAAACATGAAAAATCTATTTAGAATAGATATGTTGAGATTTAAGTGAAAGCCTTAAACCCGTGAATGATCATGTTTCTGAACATTTTTACTGACACGAAAAGATGAAATTATTTTTCTTCAGAGAAAATGGCATTAAAAGGATAAAAATGCCTGTAAAGACTTATAATCAAGCGTACAACTCTTAAGCAATTTAAACAACTCTAAATTGATTTTTAGAAAATTACTCCTGAAAGTTGAAAGATCAGTATTGAGTTAAAACAAAGCTCCCAGTAAATTAAACTAAGTACAAAATCTAATCCTAGATTTCTTATCCTGTATATAGTAGATTCTCTTTATGAAAAATATTTACGGGCTACACTGACATAACAGCTAACATTTTATTCTGAAAAAGCAATTCATATTTTTGAGACGATTTTCTTTTATTCATTTCAACCCTTATAACATTCTAGTACTTTGAAGTGTACCTTAAAATGTACACTATACAAAGAGTGTACGTTTGAGTACATAAAAATAAATGTACTATTTTGTTTAGAAATGGTTAAACCATACACCATAACAGCATTGACACATACATACAATTTAGCGCGACATCTACATCAAATCCCAAATTAAGTTTAAATAAAAACTATCAACGTAAATTGGATTGTGACAATATGAATGAATTGGCACTGGATGATCATTATCTAATTAACATTTTTCCACAAATATCACATTAATAAAAATAAAATATTTAAGAGATAAAAAACAAACTTTAACTGGAAGTTCTTCACAGCGCCGAAGTTAAAATGTAAGAATTCAAAATGCTGAAAAGTTAGAGAGAGAGCTGAGAAAAATGAAAAAATAAAATAATAAGGAATAGTATTATAAAAATGATTTAGGCAAACAATCATTAGGCATTAAGATCAATAACAATGTTGGGAAGAGATGTACATAAAAGTACAAAAAGTAAAAAACAGCATCCATTAAAACTTTTTTTGAATTTAACAAAAACAAATTGGGAAGCCAAAGAATATAAATATTTAATTTAAAATTATGCGTTGGGGTTAATCGTGTGCACAGTACAGTACAATACAGTACGGTACACACCGTACACTACTGCAAATAGTATCAGGTTTAGCGCGTCAGATAATAGAAAAACTACTTTCCTATTCGAAAAAGTACCCATCTACTAAAAACTTGTCGGATGAAATATTAATTTCATATTTAGGTCCCTAGTTTGGAAACAATGAGCATTTTCGCGCAAAGTCACCCAGAACGTTGTTTAATTGTTATCAACTCATTTGCATGTAATTATGATTTCTTGTGCTCCTTGTGCGCCATTTTGAATCTCGAGTTAACAGTTTAAAACAGGGTAAAAATATCACTGAATATATAATATTAATAAATTCATAAAAACTTCCAAGATTTCTTGTGTTTACTTCTTTATCCTAATTGCCGGGACATTTTAATCTGGTACAGCGTTTGTAAAGCATCTGGTACAGCGTTTGTAAAGCATCTGGTACAGCGTTTGTCTGCTTGTACAGTGTACACTGTCACTTTATGTCAAAACTCCCAATAAACTAAAAGAAACGATTTCCAAACTTATTTTAGTATTCACTTGGTAAGAGTTCTTAGTGTTTTGTGTCTATGTTATCTAGTAGAATTTCTTGGATTGAGCTTCCTTGCTATCCCTGTACATCATGTATGAGATAAGAACAACCAGCTGGCCACCGAGAAGTAGCATCAGCATCATGTTCGAAGAGCAGCTTACCTCGGGGCACTTCCCACCGGTATTCATTCCCTGCATCCGCGCATATCCATTGGCCAGGTCGCGCTTCACGTGGTTCAAGGACTCCCTGATCTCGGCAACCATGTTTGTGACATCACTGTTGGCCCCAGGACCCCCGACCTGCTGGACGGTCCCCTGACCCCGGCCCTGGTTGGTATGAATGGTGGTCACCTTGCTGTGGACGTCCGCCACAAAGTTCTTGATGTCCCTCGCGGCGGAGACAATCTCACGCTGGTTTGCGAGCACAGCGTTTACCTCATCGCGGCGGATGGTATCGACAGGGGCACCAGCGACCTGGGGCTGGCCGGGGGCCCTTGCGCCTCCAGAGTTTTGAATGTTTGTTAGCATTGATAATGATCTTTCTTGACGTCCTGAAAAAAAAAACATTACTTTATAGAAATGAATTTAAAATTCTGGGGAAGAATAACAAAATGAGAAAATATATTGTAAGTGTTTCAAAAACTTCAGTACGCTCCCCCCCCCCCCNTGAAATTTAATAAACAGTTGTCTCCGTTACCTGCTAGAGATTATCTTTAAATACTATAATTATCCTATAAACAATTATCTGTAATTTATATTGTAAACTAAATTATTTGCGCTAACTGAGCAGAAATGAGGTCAATGAAAATCATAAATTCAACACATTTGTAAAAAGTCAGTTTAACAAATGGTGGTTCATTTCTAAATCTGTCAAGGCCTCCGTCGAAATTACATGTAAAGCAATAAGATGCGTTGCGTTTCTAACTATTTTCAAAGCATAAAGAAAAAAGGATCGGATTAAATGTTTAACTATTTTAACCCCACTGCGACCGCTATTACTATTTACTTCAAAATTTTCAAAACATACAGAAAAAGGATCGGATTAAATACTATTTTAACTCCACTGCGACCGACTAAAATAATTTCCCAATTTAAAATCAGGAGAGATGATGTACGACAATCTTTCAAGATTTGTTGTGGCTTTTAAACAATTTTTTATTCATTGTATAGTCATTAAAATGTATCTATTTCCTTGTTTTTCAAGTTTGAAACTATACTAATATCATTTAATAAAGATGAAAATAATAAATTTTTTTTTTAAATATTGAATATATTCTTGATCCCAGACAAAGGCAAAGCTTTTAAGGGTACAGTTGTACAGTACTGAATCTGACATTCACCATTTAAAAAAAAAAAATATTATTTTCATCTTTATTAAATGATAAATTAAATGATAGTTAAACTGAGAGTCACTTGAAATGAACTACAGCGATATAAAACTTCCAACATATTGAGGTTAGGCCACATTTTGTAATAGGAGGTGGGAAATATTTACCGATGATCTCGTCCATTTTCCTCTGGAGATCTCTGATCACGTCATTGATCGCAGACTGTCCCTGGAAGATCTGCTTGAGCTCGTTACTGTTTGAATCCATGAAGAAATCCTCATAATCCTCGTCCTTCTTCACCTATATTATTCAACACAATAAAACGGATTCTCAACCAAATTTCATTAGAATCTTAGGATCAGGATCCGGATCCGGATACGGATCCAAGGGTCCAAATATCAACCAAAACCAAATCTAAATTGTAATATATATTACAATATATTATTAATATATTATTAAACATTTCTGACTTGTTCATCGATTTTTAGCATAGAATTATTAAAAAGAAATATAATTTGAAAATTTTTCTTTTGTTAGAAAATCAGTAAATCTTACATAAATGTTCATAACCTGGATCCGGATCCCTTTTTTTCACGGCGGATCCAGGATCCGGATACGCATTGAAATAAAATGGATCCCAAGTTATTATATATATAAAATAAAGCCTTCGCTCATGTAAATATATGTTTATGAATAAATGTTATAAGAAGATTGTTGCATTTTCACTGATGTATTTGTATGTATGTATAATGTATATCTATATGTCAGCTATAGCTGGCCACACGACTAAAATTTTTTGAGGGAACCCTTGAGTACCCGGGGGTAACATAGGCTAAAAAAATTGAAATTTTTTTAATTCGATTTAAAAAGTGCCTTGGGCAACGCAGGGCACTTCAGCTAGTTATAGATATAAAAGATAATCTACAAATTTGTATCTTTAAATATGCGAACAAATATAATTGTATTGTTCATTCTAGTCTTGGACAATTCTTATTT